AGTGTCACTGGCCCTCATATGTGGGATCCGAACCGGGGCCCTCTGGCATCCCAAGCGAGTTCTTAACCATCGCGCCACTCGGCCGGCCCTAAACAATATTTTTAAATGTTAAAAAAAACAAAACCAAAGAGCCGACAAGATAGAAAGATTTACTAGAACAAAATGAAAGGGAACTCAGCAATTCTGAGCGATAAAATGAGTTTAGAGTCATTTTGCCCTGAGGACATTGGCCACACATTGACCTTTGGTGTGAGGGGTACAGAAGTCCAAGTGTAGCACTTGTTTCAAGTGGCAAGTCTGTCTACTAGAAATCTCTTCCCTGTTAATTGGAGATTCCCAAAGGGTAAGGTTACTTCCTCAGAGTAAGTTGAACAAACAGTAAACCTAGCCCGTCCTTAACCATAGCCCGTCCTTAACCATATAGGGGATTAGAGGACAATTTCCTGGATGCTGAACAGGATGGATGAAAGAAAGAAAAAAAATTCTCTGAGCGATTATAACCACAAGATGTCCCTCTCTTGGATTTGCAGCCAAAATTCACACCAGGGCTCCAAAAACAAAAACAAAAACAAAAAAAAACACAAGGTATTGATTTAATTTTAAGCAGTCCCTGGAGACTAGACCCTAGGCCTGATAAATACAAACACAATTCCTTTATGGAAATAAGGTACCTTCATCTTAGGCTTCAAATAATCCCGACAAATATGTTGCCAGGACTATGAGCATCACAGAGGACAAAATAACCAAGCACCCCTGCAAAAAGGCACCATGAGCAAGAATTTATAGAAAGAACAAAAACATAAAGACATACTCATGAAGATTTTAGATGTTGGAATTATCAGACACAGATGATAAAACAAAATGTTTAATGTGTTTGTATATATAAAAGACAACTTGAAAATATCTGCAGGAAATAGGAAACTATAAGAACTGACCTAGCATAATTGAAAAAGAACTAAAGAGAACTTCTAGAAATAAAAAAATAATCAAAATGTAAAATTCAATGAGTGGACTTAACTGTAGAATATAGAAAGCTGATGATGGAGTGGGTGAACTAGAATTTTACTTCTCAAACTGTGGTCCTGATATTACCAGCTTTGACATCTCTCGATAGCTTGTTGGAAATGCAGAATCTTGGGTCCCACTTCAGACCTACAAATTAGAATCTAAACTTTAACAAATCTCTAGGTAATTACTATGTACATTAAAGTTGATCTAGGATGAGGCCAGAGATTCTTTATTTCTAACAAACTCCTAGGTGATGCTAATGATGTTGGACGAAGAACCACAATCTGAGTACCAAAGAAGATAGGTCAGAAGAATTATTCTAAGCAACAAAAGAATGGAAAATAAAGAGAGAGTTTAAGGGACATGGGAAAAGAATGAAAAAATCCAAAATATGTTTAATTGGAGCTCTGGAAGAAAAGAAAGAGAATGGTGCAGAAGCAATGTTTGAAGCGATACTAGTAGAGAATTTGCCAGAACTGAAGAAAGACACCAATCCACAAATTCAGGAGGTCCAATGATAGATAAAAAGAAACCCACTCCTAGACATCATGGTGAAACTACAGAACACCAAAGACAAAAACAGTTAAATATGCTAGAGAAAAAATAATAAATGACTGATTGATAACTGACTTCTCAATAAAAACAATTTCACTGAAGCAAGTGAAATGGAACCTTCATATGATCAAAGAAAACAATTGCCAGTAAATAATAAGGATGAAAAAAAGACACTCTCAAACAACAAAAAAAGGAGGAAAATGAAAAATGAAAAAAAAATTTTTTTTTAATTTCCTCTTCTATTATATCTTTCTGGGACTCATGTTATTTAGGTATTTGGCCTCCTGAATTGTTTAAGAATTATTAGCCATTTTTTTACTCCATTTGTTTTGTGGTTTACTTTCTGGGGATTATTTTTTCAACTTTATCTTCTAAATAAATCTTGTATTAATTTTAGCTATCATATTTTTAATAATCGAGAATTCTTACTTGTCTTTTCATTGTCTGAATATTGTTTATATTTGATTTACTTTTTTCCTTGCTAAAAACTTGTCTATTTTTACCAGCTATTAGTTTTATTGGTCTTTATTTTTTTTCTACTTAATGAATTTCTGTTCTTTTATTATTTATTATCTTCTATATTCTTTTGTTTTATTTAGTTAAACTTTTTAAAACTTCTTAAGTTGAATGCTTACTCATTAATTTTCCTTTTTTTTCTTTTGAAAGGTTCACATTTAATGTTATGAATTTCCTTCTAAGTACTACTGCCTTAATAGCATTCCTTAAGCTTTCCACATAGTGTTTTTATAGGAATTAAGTACTAAAAATCTCACAGTTCCATTACTGCTTCTTGGACCCATGAATGACTAAGAAGTGTGTATATGAAAATTTCTAGGCGTATGAAAAGCAGATACTGGCTGATCATATTATTTTTGTTATTGATTTCTAATTACGTTCAGGGAGTGTGGTCTGTTTGATACAGGTTTTTGGGTACTTGTTGAGACTTGCTTTTTGGCTTAATACATGGCAGATTTATGTAAATATTCCATATTTTCTTGAAAAGATTATACATTCTCTAATTTGGGTGAGAAGGGTTCCATATATGCTACTAGGTCAACTCTGTGAATAGTTTTGTTCAAATGTTTAATGCCCTTAATAGCTTTAGGTCAATAATTAATCAAACACTTGCTGAGCAAGTGTTAAACCATCTAGCATGATTGTGAATTTGTCAATTTCTTATTATAAATCTATCAGGATTTTCTATATTATCATGCTATGTTATTGGATGTACACTAGTTCAAAATTATTTTATATTTCTGGTAAATTGTTCATTTTATAATTCGTAGCGACTTTTTGTTATCCCTAGTAAAACTTTATATAGTAAAACAGATATTGGATATCATTTTCCTGTCATTATCTTTTTATTTTTAAACCTCTTCATTTTTTTTTACCCTTTCCTGTGGCCTCATACTTTTTATATGACTCACAAACAGCATATTGTAGGATTTTTAGTAGTTCCAATCTGAAAAATCCGTTTGTATAATTGCAAGTTTAGTATATTTATGCATATTATAATTAATGGTATTTGGATTTTATTTCTCCCAGTTAGTTTTTCCAGATGTCTCAAGCATTGTATCTTATAGAAAACTGTATTTTCTTTTAGGGTTTGCCAAAATTTGTGAGAACATTCTTAATTTAGATGGGACTTGGTTCCAAAGATTGATTGATTAAAAACCTCATGTTTTTCAAGGCCCACTCCTAAAGCCCCAAACCATTCTTAATAATAATTTTAATCCATTGTCGCGATGACTTGAATTCTATTTATTTTTTATTTGGTGAGTGGGACATGTACGAGTACATAAGTGTGGTAGTGATTATCTAGTACATAAATACATAATTTCTTTGTTCCTTCTAGTATGTGAAGAGTTCTTGAGCCGATTCTATAACTCCTTGGTAGCCAGAGGGGTCAACTTTTCTCTGGACATCATAGAAAAAGAATTGATCAGCTTTTGCTTGGGCGTCAAAGGAAAAGAAAACCGCCTGGTATGGTAAATTTTTACCTTCATTTTCCCTTGTGTCTGGAGAAAACTGCTAATACTTTCATTTCTCATCTTGGACTTAATGTTCTCCCGCTTAGATGCTTGCCTCAAGCTTGTGCACTGTAGGAAGGAAGCAGAAATTGATCATTCAGTGAAGTGTAGTCATACAAATTTTCATCTAGAATATATTTGGTTTTGTTTTGTTTTCTGAATAAATCACAGACACCTAATTCCATGTCTTCTTAAGTGAAAATATACAATTGAATTCCTAACAAGAATTTACTGTCCTGAGTTAAGAGTGTGTAGACTTTCTATTTCTTTCCAAGACAATTAAACATATCAAAATATTTTATATCATTATTTATATATGACCAATGAAGTAGTTATATTTTCTTGTGATGGTGTTTATAGGTATTTCCTGGGTATACACACACAACTTTTTTCAATATACTGTTTTCCATCACTAAAGACAATCTTAGTCCAATTCATTTTGCCTAAAATTGTCATGTTGCGTTTGTCAGCTAAATTTGCATTGTTGATGGCCCACCACTGACACACTGTAAAAATCTCAGCATTTATTTGTGCCATTAAGTTTTATATTTTTAAATGTAAAGTGCTTAAGTCAGGTAGCCTCAAAGGCATGATAGCATGATGAAAAGGGCATGGACTCTAGAGCCAAAATGCTAGATTTTTGAGTTCAGTCTCTTCTACTTGCTAACTGGGTGACCTTCAGCTGGCCTGGGTGTAAAATGGGGATAATAATAGCACTTCACAGGATTGTTGTGAGACTTAAATAAGTTGATACCTGTAAAGCCCTGAGAGCCGAGTCTGGCACAGAGAAAACACTTAGCGATTCTCGGAGCATCATGTGAATTGTAGGGCTCTTCTAATTAGGAGGATCACAGGAATGGGGTCACCTGTTTTTGGGTGTGTTAGTCAGCAGGGGTTAACATTTAATAGCTGGGCCATGAAAACTAGGTTAACCTCTGTCTCACTTCTCAAAAGCACATGACTTGCTTTTTTCAGTGTCCGGGCCACTAAATTCTCTTCATTCTCCTTCAGTGCTATTATCTGGGAGCAACGAAAGATGCAGCCACGAAGATTCTCAGTGAGGTCACTCGTCCAATGAGTGTGCACATGCCTGCAGCAAAGATTTGCGAGAAGCTCAAAAAGATGGACAGCCAAATCTGTGAGCTGAAATATGGTATAATGCAGTCAAGTCTTCTTTCCCCCCAAATGTCCAAAGTATTGCCAATTCTTGAAACAGGCTATGTGTCTTAAAAGTCAGTGTCAGAAAAAAAGAAATTCTCCACTCGCCAGTAGGTTGCTGGGTTGCTGAATGGCACCTGAGCTTCTTTGGGGGAAGAGAAGCAAATACTGGCACAATCAGCTTTAGGTAGAACTGTCAACACAAACAGCAAAGTTTAAACTCTTAAATCACCTAGGCGATGTCAACTGTTACGTCAAGGAAACATTCAAAATGTCACGGGGACATCTACTCATGGTGATTTAGCTCTTGGTAACCTACTAAGACAAAAACTGCATATTCAAAGGAGACATGAGGACTTGGAAGTTTTAAACGTGACTGTATCTTTAGTCCTAGATTTGTCTATCATTCTATCGCTTTAAATTTTAGGTCAGTCACATCAAATCTGGCTTTGCCTGATGGAATAGCCTTATTGCTGGTGCCTAAAATAAACATCAAGGAACGGAATAAGATGTCCTATTTAAATATTACCCTTGGCCTTGTACATTTCACATAGTAAATCTATTCTTATACTGACGATTTCTATCTGGGCCAGCTTTTTGGGTAGATGGAATAGGCATGTTAAATGGCTGGGGGATCCTTTCCTTAGCCTGAACACCTAAATTCTACCATTTATATAATGGTATATAATTATATAATTATAAAATAGAGACCTGTTTCTTTGGGTGAAGTCATTGTTGCATGTCACATACCCAGTGTAGTGTTGAAACTACCTAATTAGAACCCAGCTCTAAATGATTTTAGTCTTACTTTCGAATATAACTGTAATACTCATATGCCTACGCACCATGGATACACAGCTGGCTTTAAATAGTTTTAAGGTTGGAAAATTTCAAAGATACTGTTTCTCAATTTGTCAAGGGCAGACTCACTACTCCCAGGGTAGTGATGGGGGGCAGGCATTCCTTTTTATTGGCTTCCAAGTAATGAAGTAGAGGCAGGCATCATTGAGCCCATATACATAATATTCTCAAAAGTGTGCAAACCCGTGCTGATTCTTTCATTCAACAAATTAATTTTGAATATTTTCTATGATGTGCAAGACATATCACTGTGTTCCTTGAATAACAGAAAAATGAATCTGATATTATTGAGAAGGAATGAATACTTACTAATGTTTTGGAAATGCTGGCCACTAGAGGCCCTTGGGGAGCCAGGAACTAGTTTTAATTTTGGTATCAACTGTTTTCTTGTCATTTTAGGGTGTCACAGGGGTTTTTGCTCTTTAAAGTTAATGTCAGATGCCAGGTTTTCTAGAATAACTCAAAAAAACTAGTGACACTTGCAAGAAAGTATTTTCCTCCTTTGACCATTTATCTTGAATAGACCATTAGTCCTAATTTCTTCTTTCCAACTTATTGTTGGCAAGAAGGTTGAGATTTAACAGGGGCCTTTGAGCTGTGGGATAGTAATAATTTGTGCTATAAAATCTTCTACTTTTAAAGGGATTCTGTCAAGTCAGCCATGGAATTAACAAACAAGATAAATGTAGAGTTAGATTATGTTTTCTATTAGAAAGGTGTCACTGGTTTTTGATCTGAAAGAATATTTTCACTTGCTTTGTATTTTGAAAGGATGGGGATCACTATAAAAATTTCAGGGTTCTCTGGAGCATGGAGTATAGCTGACCCTCCAAATAAAAAGAGACTTTAAAACCCAACTTTTATTAATTTTTTCCCAGATTTATTGAGATATAGCTGACATAAAATATTGTGTAAGTTTAAGGAGTACCATGTGTTGACTTGATTCACTTACATATTGCAAAATGACTACCACCAGAGTATTAGCTAACACATAATTACCATTTTCTTGTAAGAACATTTAAGATCTGCTCTATTAGCAAATTTCAATTATATAATTTATTAATCATAATTATGCTGTACATTAGATGCCAGAACTTATTCTTCTTATAACTGGAACTTTGTACCGTTTCACCAACCTCTCCCATTTTTCTAACCTCCAGCCCCTGGCAACCACTATTCTACTCTCTGTTTCTGTGAGTTCAGCTTTTTTAGATCCCACATATAAGTGAGATCATATGATATTTGTCTTTGTCTGACATATTTCACTTAGCATAGTGCCCTCAAGGTCCATCCATGTTGTTGTAAGTGGCAGGATTTCATTCTTTTTCATGAATGAATAACCTTTAATTGTGTATATGTATACACCACATCTTTATCCATTCATCTGCTGCTGGACACTCAGGTTGCTCCTATGTCTTGCCTACTGTGAATAATGCTTCAGTGAACACGGGGGTGCAGATATCTCTTCAATGTCCTGTTTACATTTCCTTTGGATAAATACCAGAAATGGGATTGCTGGATCATATGGTAGTCCCATTTTTAAAATTTTAAGGAAACTCTGTACTGTTTTTCATAGTGGCTGCACCAATTTACAATCCCACCAACAGTAGATAAGGGTTCCCTTTTCTTCACATCATCTCCAAATCTTATCTCTTATGTTTTTGGTGATGGCCATTCTAATGGGTATGAGGTGCTATCTCATTGTAGTTTTGATTTGCATTTTCCTGATGATTAGTGATGGTCAGCATCTTTTCATGTACCTGTTGGCCAATTATATGTCTTCTTTAGAAAGATGTCTATTCAGATCCTCTGTCAACTTGGTTATGAACCCCTTATTAGAAAAATGACTTCCAAATATTTTCTCCCATTCCATAAGCTGCCCTTGATTTTTTTTATGGTTTCCTTTGCTGTACAGAAGCTTTTTACTTTGATGTAGTCCCACTTATTAATTTTTGCTTTTGTTGCTTGTGCTTTTGGTGTCATATCCAAAAAATCATGGCCAAAACCAATGTCAAAGGGTTTTTTCCTTATGTTTTTTTCTAGGATTTTTTTAAAGTCTTATGTTTAACTCTTTAATCCATTTCAAGTTAATATTTGTGAGTAATGTAAGATAGGGGTCCAGTTTCATTCTTCTGCATGTGGTTACCCAGTTTTCCAAACACCGTTTATTGACAAGACTATTCTTTCCCCATTGAGAATTCTTGGCTTCTTTGTCAAATATACTCCCCATTGAGTGTATATGCGAGGGTTTATTTCTGGGCTCTTGATTATGTTCCATTGGTCTACATGTCTGCTTTTATGCCAGTACCATGATATTTTCATCACTACAGCTTTCTAGTACAGTATAAAATCAGAGAACGTGATGCCTCCAGTTTTGTTCTTCTTTCCCAGGATTGCTTTGGCTATTTGGAGTATTCTGTGGTTCCATACAAGTTGGGATTGTTTTTCTGATTTTTTTTTGTGAGAAATGCCATTGGAATTTTGATAGGGATTGCATTGACTCTTCAGATTGCCTTGGGTAGTATGGGCATCTTAACAATATTAATTCTTCCAATCCATGAACATGGGCTATCTTTCCATTCATGTCCTCTTCAATTTCTTTTACCAAAGTCTTGTAGTTTTCAGTGTACAGATCTTTGGTTAAATTTATTCCTAAGTATAAAATACAACTTTTAAATTAGAGAACACTAACTGAAATTTATGATAAATTACTTGACAACTATGGTAGGTTGTTAAAAGGTTTTTAAGGGGCTGGCCGAGTGGCGCGATGGTTAAGAACTGGCTTGGGATGCCAGAGGGCCCCAGTTCGGATCCCACACATGAGGGCCAGTGACACTGCCATGGGCTATCGTATGTAGCCAGCAGCCAGCGTGAGCAGCCAGCAGCCGCAGTGAGCGGCCGTCCAGAAGCCGGCGACTGATATGCTTTGCCTGGGAAGAGCGCAATGATGGTGCCAACTTGGGCCAGTGAAGCAACATCCTCCACAACTAGACTGAAGAACAAAACTACAGCAACTTGTCTGTTCCCCTTCCCCCAATTCCCCAGCTCTGTTCCCATCCCCAATTTCCCAATTAAAAAAAAAATCTTTAAAAAAAAAGTTTTTTAAATGCAAGGAAGAAAAAGAAAGGACTCTTGAAGCTGAAAAAGTCCTAAGCTGCCACTAATAGTTTAATAAGTAAACTTAAATGTTGTAGCCATGTTTAAGCACACACCTGGTCATGGGGAATGGGGAAGGAGACTTTCCTTTGAAAGAGGAAAATTACCCCTTTCTAATAGGGAAATAATAATCATGAGTATATTACAGATGAGCTTAAATATTTTCCCCTGTTTGGGGGCTTGGCAAAAGGGAAGTATAATATATGAGTTCTTGACATCCTCTGCAGATAATCTGTAAACAGTAAACAGTAGTCTTGGTAGAGAACTTAGATGTTGGTGATAAGTATTATCGGGCAAGAAGGTTAGGACCCAGATTGGCTGGCACCAAAGCACCCTTATTAGAGAAGTGGGACTGTAAATAAATGCTGCGATAATTTAATAATCTCAATAGCTGTGGGGATCAGGTGAGTTTAAGCAGAGATCCAAAACAAGTAAGGATGAATGAGAATGCTCCTAATTTTATTCACGTGTTTGGGTTTCTTTAAATTTGTATTTAAAAACTCGATAGTGCTTTGTACAATAATATGTATGCTCATCTGTTTTACTGCAGACATATGTTTGTATAAAAAAAAGTGAACCATAATTTTCTAGTTAATTACGATCTGTGGCTTTCAGCTGGCCACCCACAAAGCCGTTCCAACGCATCACCTTTTATCCATTCCTTTCTTTTTACCTTAGGAGTAACAGTTAGATGTGGTGCTGCTCCTTTTAGTAATGATGATCTCGGGAAGTCATGGAGTGGTAGCAAATGCTACAAAGCTACCTGGGGCCCCTGTTCAGAAACAAGTGTAACTCCATGGAGAGGAAGTCTGATAGAACACAACTCATCCCAGTAGCTTTGTCTATAATACTTTCTCCTTAGGAATGCCTTGGTTTCCGTAGAAATTGGAACTATTCTCCACTGTGGATCATAGGGTAGTCAGTACCAAGATAAATAACATCATTTGCCTTTCTAAATATTTCAGAATTGCTTGTGATTTTAAAGAATTGTGCTCCTCCTTTTTGTCATTTAGAAAAGAAATTGGACTTGGCATCAGTGGACCTGAGGAAGATGCGAGTAGTGGAGCTGAAACAGATACTGCACAGCTGGGGGGAAGAATGCAGGGCCTGCGCGGAGAAAACAGACTACGTGAACCTGATCAAAGAACTGGCACCCAAGTACGCTGCGGCCCACCCCAGAATGGAACTCTGACCCTCCACGCCGGCGCACCATTGGTTGTAATTAGAGGCAAAATGTCATGTGGATTAAGTCCCCAGAAATTGCACTGCGCGTGCATGGTCTCATACTTTTTGTTTTGATATTACTCCTCAGAACTGGTTACTTGAGTTTATAAGTAAAACTGTTAATATTAGTGGTATCTTACTTTTTTGCAGTGTACCAAAACCTAAAAGTGCCTTTATCATAATTTCTTTGGTAAAGACTATGTAAATTATCATTGGCTACCTCCTAAAATTGGGGAAAGTGAATTTCTGAAAAGTTGATGGAGCAAATTGATTCCAGGAAGGAGAAGCGTGCTCAAGAGGCCCCTCTCTGTGCATTCATGTTTATTACATATATTGGATTAGGACAAAAGGAACAATGTTTAGCTCATCTAGCTCCCAACTTCAACCCAAAATAACAACCTGACATAATGAAAAGTTTTTAAAAAATAAACTTTGTTCAACTGCAAATCTCTCTGCTTTCTAGTTCTCTTTGGTACCAGAAATGAGAGGGCAGGAGGCCCTACTTGAAATTAGTGTTTCCGTTTCCATATGAAGAAAACCTATTTAAACCTCCTTAAAGAAAATAGACCAAGAATCCACACAAATATATGTAGCCAGTAATTTAGCAAATTATATCACCAAGCTCAAGGACTTCTGCAGCCTTCTTATAACACAGTAGACAAGCTTTTGATAGAAGGTTAAAACATATGAAGGGCACCTGCAGGCAACATGGTTTTTAAGAACCAATTTATGGTTCTTAGTGCTATTATATCAGATTTAAATTGTAAAATCATTTGTGACTTCATTTTCTGGCCACATTAAGAATAAGATCCCACTGTAGAAGTAAGTGGCTGTCCCTGTGTGGTAGGTGGAGTGGGAAATGACTGCAGAGCAGCTCTCGGGAAATTTCGGGGGTGATGGGAACATCTTATCTTGATGGTGGCTACATCGGTGAATATGATTGTCAAACTCATCTGGTAGTACATTGAAGACCTGGGCATGTTACTGTATGTAAATTATATCTAAACCCTGTTGTAGAAAAATTATTTGAAAATTAACTAAAATGAATTGATTCAAAACATCTTGCTCATTTAAAGAATTACAATTACTGACTGGGAGTCTTTTTGGGGAGTGGAGGAGAAATTTTCCAGACTGAAAGTATACACTGTAAGTATAATTTTCGGTTTTAAATGCTGCAAATGAATTTTCAGTTGGACAGTTGGGGTGTAACCAAGCTTGTCAGAGAATTAGTGGTTAGTAACTTAAAAATGAGAATAAAAAGCTTTGATGTAAAGAAAAAAAAGAAGAAAAGGAAAAAAAAAAGCTTTGGTGTAATAAAAAGCCAAAACGGTTATTGTTTTGGGATTTTTGGCAGCTTGGATCATTTTGTGTAAAGCACCCTACTTTATTATGAATCATATCTTTAAAATGTTCAAATTTAGGTTTTTTACTTTTTATAAACTTGTTTTTCTTTAGTGCATTTTCAACCTATTGAGAAAGTTGTCATTTAAAAATAGCATGTTTGATGTTTGATCTCAAAATCAGGTCATATTTCTCAGGGTCATTTGTTTCAGAATATAAATCTAGGTAATAAGAACACTGCTCAGCAGGTCATTCAAATCCATAATATTTAGTCTGGTGTTTCAAAGGGCGTTTTCTGTAAGTCATCGCTACTCAAACTTCTCAAATTGTGCATACAAATCACACAAGGATCTTGTTAAAATGTAGATTCTGAATCAGTAGGTCTGGGAGGGGCCTGGCCTGAGCCTTTGCATTTCCAACAAGCCCCAAGTGATGCCCATGGAGCTCGTCCAGGGACCACATTTTGAGTAGCAACGGCCTGAGTCATGGATCCTGCGATGGACTTAGTTTTGCCTTCTGCCAGTCTCAATCAATCAGTTAGGTTTATGATGGGGCTGAATATAAGAATAACAACACACACACACACACACACACACACACACACAAAACAATGATAAACTCATAAAACATGATTCTTTCATGTAAAAGAAGTCCAGAGGTAGCCAGTCCAGGGTAAACAGGGCAGTTCCGCCAAGTTATTAGGAACTCAGCTCTTATCATTTTGCTTCACAGCCTAATGGTGGGTCCATTCTTAACCCATGGTCCAGTTGGCTGCTGGAATGCCCTTTTCCAGGAGGGAGAAGGCACATGAACTGAACCAAACTCTCTAGGGCAGCCTTCCTCATCCCTATCCCCCCCTCTACCCTCACCCTCACCTTCAAGTTCCACGCCCCACTCAACACTCTGCTGATATGTCACTGAGCAGAACTTAATCACAATGTCAAACCTAGCTGCAAGGGAGTTTGGGAAATAACAACATTTGGTTGACTTCATTGCTGCCCAACTAACATCAGGATTTTTTTTTTTACTGAGGAAGAAGGGAGAAATACTTTGTGGCCACAAGCCACCTCTGCCACACAGCATACAATCTTCCTTACCATGAATCTTAGTTACAGTTCCTGGTCATTATACCCTAAATAACAATCCCCCCTCCTTGCTACTTACTTCTTTCATCAATTATGTCTTTCCTTTTTTAGTTTCACCAAAGTAGCTACTATTTCTCTATTTTATTTTCATTTTAAATCACTTCCTCTCTCATTGTGTGTGTGTGTGTACATTTTTTGGGTGTGTTTTTACTCAAAATTCATAAGCACGCAAGATTTAGAAGTCAGAGATTCTGACAGAAGTGACAAAACTCTGGGCTAAAAAACTTTCATTTAGACAGTAGTAGTCTGGGCTGGACATTATTCCTGATCTACTCTACATTTCAAAAATTCTAAGCAGATGGCCCTTTACTTTGATTCCTAAATACACATGGGAAACTAGATATAACATTTAGAGCACAACTTAAAAGTTGTAATTCTTTATTTGAGTATGGATACCTGTAATCTATATTCCACCAAAGAGTGTTACATTTAGAACAAACTATCTTGGCACAGAGGACAAGAAAATATTTGACTATCAGATCTCTAAAAAACAGCAGAGCATTCTGTGATGCAGAGGCCCCATTTGTGGGTTTGAGCAGCTCTTGGTAAGTGTCTTTTCTAAGCAGGCATCTGAGATTTTATCCTCTCAGTCTCATTCAGAAGAAATGATTGTCAGGTGCCCATTCCTTCACAGTGTATTTGAAATAAAATTAATTCTACCAAGAGAGAAATAGAAAAGGGAACGGATAGTGTGCATTATTAAGTTTTCTGTTTGTTTGTTTTTGGTATGCTTTCCTCTGGCAAAAATTTTGAGAATTTGGGATTGTGCAGGTACCCTGGTGCTGAATTTCTAAAGCTCACCAGGGTTTAAATGAAAATTTTAATGTGTGAGACTGATAAATTAAAAATGTAAATGTGATAGCTGATAGAGGTAAGGTTGTTATCTGTTGGTAAAGTGGATCAGTTTTAAGGCAGTATTTTTTATAGCTTTCTAGGTGATTTCCCTGTGAGGCTGTATCCTAGATACTCTCCATATACCTAATTCTTCCAGCTCCCTCCCAGCAGTGCTTGTTTCTTGGTGTGGGAAGCTCAGCCTGTGCAGTCTGGCTTTTCTGAAGTTTGGTGGTTGACCTTGCAAGGTAACATACCTGGTTTGGCAAGGTGTGCGTTTTCTGTGAATATATACTCATACCTGCTTATTAAGATATTGTGGATTAGTTGATTATACCGTGTCAGAGATGGATTAATCAGCATTTAGAACAAAAAGAAGAAAGAAAAAAGAAAACATAAAGATAGAATACAGGTCCACAGTCCATTACCAAAATGGGCTGGTATTCTTGGAGCTAGGTATTCTGGGAATTCATATTTTTTTTCAGATTCTAGAGAGGTAGGATGGTGCATATAGTAAATATCTCATAATCCCGTAGGAGCTTGTGGGCAGCACCCTGTAACCCCTCCCATCAATCCAGATCAGGTTTTGTCACCAGAAGAAGTTGGGTCAGGTTTTGCTCATCAAATGAATTACAAAAGAAGAACTTTTTATGGATTTCTGAATCTTGGATGAGAGATTGTGGCACTGTAATTCTGTGGTTATCAATCATTAGTCAAGACTTTGGGCCTTTGACAAAACCTCTACCTCCCATGGACTAGTCTCCCATAGAACTTCTTTCTCCTAGAAAGGAATTGAAAAACACAGGGATGGGGGTGGTGGGTGATAATTTCAGGGGTGATAGAGTTTGATGATTTGGAAATCAGGACTTGAAAGTGTTCATTCACACCTTATGCCTCTGAGTTCTTACAGGGATTGAAAGAAATAGTCAAATAAATGACCGAAAGTGACTGCAATTCGATAATGAGTATAATGTGTTCCGGAATGGCACCTGTGACCATTTGTGAGCTATCTCTTTTTATTTGGGGTGACTCAAAATTTCTGGAGCATTGTTTAATTCTACACACCTCAAAACTTAGGACTCTCAGTGCCTCACTTTTATCTTGGGCCACACGCCTTCCCAGAGCATGGTGCAAGGTAAGCATTAAATAAATATCCACTGAGGAAATGTGCTCACCATGTTGTCTTCCTTCCATACAGGTGGGTCAGCTGTGGTTTCTCCTCTTCAGGTCACAATAACTAACCAAGGCAGAGTCTCCTCCTGTCTGCAGCACCGCCCCCTCCCTACCACCCCCCCGGAGACTTCTCTCTCATCAGATTGAAAGCCCATTCGGGCTTTGCAACCAACTGTCTGATATTCGCCATAGCTGCAGTGTTTACAGGAGCTCAGAAGATGTTGTTTACAGGGCTCTTGTCCTTTTTCCTTTTGAATTTTTAAAAACCTATTTTGGAAAGAACAGATCAAATGTTGGTGCCTTAGTGACGGAGCAGCTACCAATACATTCTTTATAGCTGGGATCTTGGGCTGTGCAATTTCTAGCAGGCAGTGAACTTATTCGCCTGCTAGATATCATTTAAGTGTGTGTGTCTACCCCAGGAATTCGGGTGTTCCTCTCCTTTCTAAGGCTTCCACTGTCAGCCAAACATTAACTTCTCATATATCTCTATTCTTACGCAGTCGTAAATTAGTAAGTTCCTTGTTTCTTTCAGAAGGAGTCTGGAAGTTTGCTTGTTTCCAGATCATATTCATATGCATATATTTTTGCTTCCTGAAAAAGTTCAGTGTCACAGCACCTTGGCCTTGGGCTGTAAGTGCTCAAAAGCCTGGTTCATACCAAGACTTCACAAATGATCTTTGCAGTCTCCTTTGCTTTCTCTACTACAGTTTATTGGTGGCTTCCAAAAGTTTCATTCTTATTACTGTATTAGCATCTTGAGTATACAAAGATAGAAGTAGAAATAATAAAACAGAAAAAGCATCAAATTGAAATTTGCATCCTATTTTTGCCTATGGCTAGTTATGCTATCTGAGAAGAGTCATTCAACTTTTCTGACCCTCAGTTTTTCATCTTAGAATGTAGTCAACAATGTCTACTTCGTTGGGTTATTGTGAGGATTAAATGGAGAAATATAACTAAAATATGTAATAACAGAGTGCCTCACTCAGGGTAGACACCCTGATAGAATTAGTAGTCGACTCTGAATGGCACTTTTCTTTTAAAGATTTCGTTTACTGTCACAGAATTCTACATGAAGGCATGATGAGTATTGGCCCATTTTATAGATGAGGAAGTGAGGCAGAGGTGACATTTAGTGACTTGCCCACCAAGGCCCGGAAATGAATGTGGGTCACCTGGCTTCTGGATTGGATGTAACTTTTAAGCTGAGAACTTCAGGGGTGAGAGCATTTGACAATTTGGAAACCAGGACTTTAAAGTGATCTTTGGGAAGCAGGCATATTCACACCTCATGTCTCTGAGTTTTTAAAGGGATTGAAAGAAATAGTCCAGTAATAATGACTGAAAGCGACTGCAATTCGATAATGAATATAATGTGTACTGGAACGTCACTGTTGATCATTCATGGGCGGTCTCTTTTTATTTGGAGTGACTCGGTATTTCTGGAGCATCATTTAAGTCTACACACCTCTATGATGCTGTTGCATCATGTGGGATGCAG